GTACGAACTCGATGGCACTTAACAACAACAACAATGAGTTTCAACATCTTTTTTTGTGTGTGCTTATAGGATATTTATGTAGCCTTTTTTGTAAAAGGAATATTTGCATCTTTTGCCATTTTTTTAATATTGGAATTTTTTGTTTTTGTTGTTTCTATTGATATAGCAGCATTACATAGAATTTTTTGTTATTGTTGTTAAGTGCCGTCAAGTCTGTTCTGACTCATAGCAACCAGGTATAGGATTTCTGAGGAGAAGCTTTGGGTTTGAACCTGCAACCTTATGGATGGCATTCCAGTACTTATCCTACAGCACCACACCAGGACTCCAAATATAATTTATATGTTTGTATTATTTTGCAATTGTTGTTATTTTATGCACTACAATGCATTAAATACATTTCACTCTCTTTGTATCTTTAGTTGAACAAATATTCTTAATTTTCCTTTTTAAAAGGTTTTAAATTATTTGAGCCTTTTTATTTGTGCTTTTCAGTTTTAGTATTTTGTTTAAGGAATTTTTCCTGACCTTGTGGTATTTCACACACATACACAGTCTTCTAAAAGTTTCAAGGTTTTTCTTTTTTCACATTTATTCTTTAATTCTTCTTACGCTGTTTTTGTTTATAGCATAAAGTAGGAGTTGATTATTTTTGCGTTTTCTTCTTAAGCCTAACCAATTGTCCTAGCACTATTTATCAAAGAGTCCCTTCTTTCACCAGCTTTTTTTATTACAACTTCTATGGTATGTGAGGAGTCCTGGTGTGGCGCTGTGGATAAAGCACTGGACCACAAGACTCGTTTGAACCACAAGTTCAGTGATTCAAACTCACCAGTCACACCTTGGAAACTCTATACAGAGTCTCTATGAGTCGGAAACGACTCAGCAGCACTTAACAACAACAACAATGATACGTGAGGCTTCTATTTTTGCTGGCTCTGTTAGTGTCTCATTGTTGCCAAAATTACAAGATGTTAACCACTACAATTTATAACAACATCCACTAGTTCCCTTGTGGAGACCTGGTGTGGTGCTGTGGGCTAATTTGTCAGATTGCAAAGGCCTTTGAACTGCAAGGTCGGTGGTTCAAGTTCACCAGCTGTTCCTTGGAAACCGTATACAGGGTTGCTGTGGGTCAGAATCGACTCAAGGACACTTAACAACAACACACTAGTTCCTTTCACTTAGTTACTATAGCTATTGCCTTTGTTATTGTTGATTATTGTCTTCTTTTTCCCTCCTTACCCACCTTTTCCTCTTTCCTCTCCTCCTTTTCTTCCTCCTTCTCTTCCTTCATTTTCTTCTGGAATATTTTAGCTATTTTGAACTTTAATTTTTCTATATACATTCCAGCATCACCTTGTTAGTTTGACAGAAAAACCTGGTGATCAACCTGGAATGGCTAGAAGAACAGAAGATACTTCTTAAAAGAAAGACCTACAGGAAAAATATAAAACAACATAGGCAGACCGACTGTTACTACAGAAACAAGCAACATGCTTTCCCAGGAAACATCAAGGCAAGTGGTCGGGTCCCCTCATTGCAAACCCCCTTCAAAGACTAAGACTCAATGGGAATACACGCTGTGATTGGTGACCACACTCGACACGGATAAGGGGAAGTGAGGGAAAAACAGCAATGAAGCGGTAAGCTAAGCCCTACAATGTTCAATAGACTTCTGTGAACCCGGGTGAAGACCTGGTTGGCCAGCAGTGTGGCAAGACCTGGGGACTCTTGGGCCCAAAGTCGTGACATAGCCACAGAGGACTAGAGTGGAGAGTGAAGCGTCCAGCTGATAAGAAGAGAGGGCATATGCATAAGAACACCCACACTTGCAGATAATACCCACTTGTCCTGGCTTCAATGACTAGATGATCAGAGCTCAACCAGAAGTATAAAGAAGAGGAAAAAAAAAAATATTCTCATACAATTTGATGAACTTCACCTACACCTATGGAAGCAGTAGCTCAAAAGAAGGAACAAGTCCTAACAGCAAGAATCAGTCCCACACCCTCCACACACAGAGTAGACAGGGATGGGCAACTTGGACATTGGCTACCCAAAATGGGGGGTGGGGGGCTACAAAGGCAAGAAGTGACTGGCTTACAAGCTTTCAAGAGGGAACCTAGATCCAGAGGGCATGGAGGAAGGTAGAATCTCAAGTGAGTAGTATTCAATCTGACTAGGCGGGGCTGATGCAACAAAATGCAGATGGGTCTCTTGTGATACAATAGTGAATAATTGTTATCAGGACTGATTATGAGGGTTGGAAATGTAAAGGTAGGCGTTTTATAGCAAGGAGGGGAGTGATTAACTTTTCAGTCTAGGAGCGGAGGTCCCTAGGACCATCAAGGGAGAAGAGCAGAGAGTGGGACCCTACCCAGAGAAGCAGTGATGCCTGAAATGGAGCCAGAGATGATGACGTGGAGCAATGGAGCAGCTGGAGACTTTAGATCCAGAGAGGGAGAGCGACTGTGTGCTGAAGACCTGGGGGGTATGGGGGAAGGATTGCATGGAGGGGATTGTAACCATGGCAATGAGATGATATAGGATAGAATGAATGTAAAACCAATGTTCTCCCATGTAAACTATCACATAATTCACAATAAAACATTAAAAAAAAAACACCTGGTCATATTTTGATTAAAATTGTATCTATTAATGATTGGCGCTATCAATCATACTGGATAGAATTGACATCTTTATGACATCAAATCTTTCTATACTTGAACATGGCATGGCATTTATTTATTTATAACTTCTTTAATGTCTGTCTATATATTTTTTAATCATTTTCTATATTGTTTTTATCTCCTAAACCTTGCAGGTTAATGTGCTGGACTGCAAGGTCAGTTTGAACCACAAAGTCGGCAATTGAAGCTCACCAGCTGCTCCTTGGGGACACAGGGTTGTTGTGAGTAGGAACTGACTCAATGGCACCTAACAACAAACATCAAACCTGCTCCTTGCCTAACTTCACTACTTGGTGGAAGAGCATCTCCAACTGTCTTGTCCTTTACAGTAGAAAATTCAGAATCACCCCAGACTCCAATTGACCCTCATTTCCTCTCTTTTATTGCTTACCAAGATTTATTAATTCTATGCCTTAAAAAAGAAACTCTTTTTATGGGTATGGAAAATAGGGCAATGAATGTTGGTGATGGTTGCACACATGATTGATGTGATTGGCTTCATTGTATTGTACTAGTGAGGAACATTAAATTGGCAAATATTGTGCTTTCTGTATTTTACAACAATTAAAAAATAAATAAATTTTTAAAAATTATATCTTGACTCCAACCTCTTTTCCATCTCCATTGACACAGTTTCCTAAATGTTTGAATAGTCTTCTAACTGATGTTTTGCACGCCTGGTCCCTCCTCTATGCTAATTCTATTGCTATCATTCTAAAATACAAAGGCACTTTTAATAATCCCTCCTGGTTCATTAGTCTGTCTCAGTTTCCTCATCTGTGGAAGAGAGTATAGTAGAAGCCATCTGCCTTAGCAGGGAGGAGTATTTTATCACTGACTCTCCTTGGAACAATGTTAATGGAAACCAGATTGGCTTTTAGTTGGTTTTATTATCGCTTTTAAATTCTCTACAGGAAATTTAGTGCCTTTTTTGTTTTTTGTTTGCCTACAACAGGGCCATTTATTCCACCTCCCACCCTCCTTGGGTACAACACTGGAGATCATTATTTCATTTTCCTCATAGCGATGCTGTGCAAGTTAAATGCAACAATACTTGGTGAGGACTTAGTCAAGGTCCCTGCATATAGTGATCATTTAGCTAATGTTAATGATTATTAGTAATAAAATCTTTATTAGCTCTTCATTCCCTGTAAGTTTCCTATCTTTCACACCTGGCCTCAGTTAGTCACTACCACTCCCGTGAGACCTACACTCCAGTTATGTTTACTTTACTTTGAACCCAAGGAGTCTTTCATGTTTGCAGCGCCTTTTTAAATGGCTGCTATCTCTGGTAGCGTAGCGGTTACGAATCGGGCAGCAAACCTTAAGGTCAGCAGTTCGAAACTACCAGCCGCTCCACGGGAGAAAAGTGAGGGTTTCTGCTCCCGTAAAGATTTACAGTCTCGGAAATCCTGTACAGGGTCGCTAAGGGTCGGAACCGACTAGACGGCACTTACAACACCAATTCTTGTAGGTTTATAATTAAGATCCACTTCACAGTCATGTTTCTGTGACGTTTTCCTCAAATTACTCAGAAAACAGGTCCCATGACCTCTGCACATATCTCCCCATAAAAGCCTGCCATGCCTGAAGTTCAACCAAGGGAGGGGTTGTATAGTTGTATAGTGTTCATCTGTCTATAATCAATTTTGTATCCACAATGACCAAAACGGCGTCTGCCACATAATATTGGATCACTTGGGGGTGGGGGTGGGGCAGTGCTTGTTTGTTAGTTCTATTTTACTTTATGGAATGAATGAATGGGAACAGTTTTGACTCCACACTAGATACAGCAAGAAGGATCCTTTGTGACTGTTTGGGTTATTTAATATCACTTGTTATCACTGCCATGCCATAAAAAACAAACAAATATTAACGTGCCTGTTTCTCTAAGGAATTCAACTCTGTAACAAAAGGAAAGTCCACTTAAAATCAGGAATAATTATAAGTAGGTTAATCTATCTTCACCACTCTCTCTAAGAGGGCGCTGTTTCCAAATCAAACCTCCAGAGATCTGGAATGAATTACCAGAGTTTTCCCACTGGACTGCATCCCTTCCCATGCAGCTGCCGCGGTCCTGAGCTGAGCGCCTGCCCACAAACATGGCGACGCCCTGACCAGCGTCGCCCGACAGATTTCGTTGCGCCGGCCCGAACTTGCCAATACTCGGGTACTTCCTCTGCGAGCCGGCTTCCTGCAAGGCAGGGCATTTAAACCCGCGCCTCTGGCTGCGGGATGTTGCTGCGGATGCTGAGCTGTTCGCTTGCAACACTGTGCCGCCTTCTCGGCCCTGAAGGAGCAGCGCTGCTTTAGCATCCCTGAATTGCATCGCAGGCAAAGCAGGGGAGGGCGAGAGGAAAAGTCGGAGACCCTGTCATCTGGCAGTTTAATTGCAGGTTTGACTTTAATTTCTAAGGTTGCAACCTGTCCCTGCCCAGATTATTTTTCCTCCCTCGGGTTTTGGGAACTGGAAGAAGGGCTTCGTCTCAGCAGCAGAGGGAGAGAGACCTCCGGGTCCCGCTCTGTCGCCCTAGGGACCTAGAGCTGCGCGCCTGGGCCATGGTGCGGCTGAGTCCCGCACTCCGGTGAGGCGGTGGTGCGGCTCCCAGCCCAGCAGGCCGGCTCTGCGGGTACCTTCCCTCGAGGAGGAGAGGGACGCCGGGAGCCCGCGCTTTCCTGCTGGGGCTGCGCAAGGAGATTAGCGGCGGCCGAGATGTTCAGCTGGCTCGGAACCGACGACCGCCGGAGGAAGGACCCCGAGGTCTTCCAGACTGTGAGCGAGGGGCTTAAGAAACTGTATAAGAGCAAACTGCTACCCCTGGAAGAGCATTACCGCTTCCATGAGTTTCACTCTCCAGCCCTGGAGGATGCTGATTTCGACAACAAGCCCATGGTCCTGCTGGTGGGCCAGTACTCCACCGGGAAGACCACTTTCATAAGGTGAGTGGGCCCAGGGAACTGGCAGGCTCACCCACCCCCAATCCCCACTTAGTTCGCTCCGGTGTCCCACTCCTTTGGGGGACACACAGAAGGGCTTCAGTTAAGGGTTCTGAAGAAATCCTTCTGCCTATGTGAAAACATAACCCACAATTTAATTGCTGGCCCCCCTCTTCATGTTATATACCCCGTACCACCCCACTGTACTCATGCTTGGCTCAAGTGGTCAATGTGGTTAATTTGAAATGTTAACGTTGGGAGCCATCCCTAGTCTCCCCATTTTATGGACGTACATGTAGAGGCACTCCTTGGTCTTTGGGAGTGTTTATGCTAATGATGGCTTTTCATCCTCACTTTTTTGTAGAGCCACCCTTCCAGGCCAGGGACATGCTCTTCACATCTTACAGCATCAACCCTGACTTTCATAGAGCTCAGCCACTCACGCAAATGGAGACTCTTAGATACAGCTGAGGAGATCGGCAATGGGTGTGGACTGGGAACCCTGCCTGATGGTGCCACTTGTCCTGCTTTCATTGTTTTCCCTTCCCTAAGGCAGAGTTCCTATTTGTGTTTCTTGGATACGGACAGAAATGGAATACTTTTTTATTTTCCCTTGTTTGATCTTAATAGCTCAATAATAATATTAAAGACTTCTAAGGCAGAGGGCTATTGGCAATTGTATCTTCCAGCTCCTTGCCTCTGCAAATGAGATAACTGAAGTGTAGGTTAACTACGTAGGAAGCAGAGCTGGCATGCAGGTCCTAGACGCTTGTGAGGAGATAGTTGGCTAAATGCCTGTAACTTTGAGAATGAGTCATCCATTTCTTTGAATTACAGAATCTTTGGGCTAGAGGGCTCCATAAGACCTGAATTTGTCCACTTGCGTTTAGAGAGGTCCATATATTGTCTTCCAGAATGATCAGAATCCTTTCTGCGTTAGGCAGTGCCTTCTCTTCAGCCTTTAATTCTGGCAATTTTCAAGAATAGGACATTTTTTCTTGTCTTCATTTATAGCCATTGTTAAGCTATTGAATGCTTGTGACCCACTATGCAGAGACAGGGTTCATTGGCCTTCCTTCTGAGGTACTTTTCTCGTGCAGAAGGTTTCAAAGCAGGGGTTCTCCTCTTTCCATTCAGTTAATATTTGAGCTCCTACAACACTGTGCTTTGGTGAGGTGAGCAGAAAAGTTAAAGGTGTGGCCAGGTACTAATTTTCTCTAAAGCTAAACTCATAACACTAGCCTTTTGGCAGAAACACATACACCAGCTATCATGTCATGTCTAAACAGAACACTGATGGTTCTTGTGTTCACAGCTTTGAACTCATTCAACCTTTGAAAGTTTGTGTCCAAACAAGCTTGACAGCCTGAGGGGTAATTGAACTATTGGCTTTTGGACATTTTGGATTGCTAGAACTGCACAGACCTTTAGAGGTTAATCTAATCCATTGACTCTTAACTTTTTGCTTAGGAACTCCTTTGAAAATCTGATGAAAGTTCTCTTTAGAAAAATATGTATCCAAATTCGGGAGTTCAAGGACTACCTTGGATTTTAGGTGAGAACTAGTCCATTATTAAATATCCATTTCTGCTACAGGCAACTCAGAGCCACCTAAATTCTGTACCAGGTTTCCTTTGTAATCTCTGCCTTCTACCTGGCCTGGGTTATGCCCCAGGTTGCTTTGTGCTTGCATAGCCTTCCCTGGCTCTCTGGACATGCTCTCATTATAACTACGAGCACTTTTTTTGGGGTGCTTTTCCTTCCTGGAACCTGAGCACATTTGAGTACAAGACAACAGTCTTGTTTAGTATCTTCATGGCGTAATCCGGAGTCTCACCTACAGGAGGTTCCCAGTAGACATTTGCAGCATGCAAGGGAAAATTCAGAAAGGAGTGTGAGCCCCCAAGCCAGGGTTAAGTGCTTTTTTTGTCTGAGATAGCCTCTCCTAGCATGGCCTGAGTCATTTCTGACAGTTAACTGTGTCTAGGAAAGCGGCAGACTCAAGTTACCACTGATTACTTGTTATCTGAGGGAGACAGAAAGGCCAGGGGAGGCAGATCCCGCTTCTTTCTGACAAGATTACTCCCTCCCCACTCATGTCAGTAACTGAATTAAGTGTGTCTATCAAAAGCTGCCTTCCCTTGAGAGAGAACAACCCAGCAGAGAAGGAGATGAAACACTCCAAAAACAAATGACTTTGTTTCTTCCTTCTAATTAAGTCTTAAAAATCCCACTTTTTTTGTATGTGGTTTTTTTTTTTTTTTTAAATTGGAAAATACAGAAAGAATAATTCAAACAAGGAAAAAATCAATCATAATTCTATGACTTGGGGAAACCGATATATACAGATATATTTCCCATCATCCAATGGTTAAGCTCTGGACTGCTAACCCAAAGGTTAGTAGTTCAGACTCACCCAGAGGCTCCTTGGAAGACAGTGCTTCAGAACCCTGAAATCCTATAGAACTGCTCTCCTCGGCATACTTGGGATCATCCTGAGTTGGAATTCACTGAACCGCAGCTAACAATAGCATATGTCTCCCCAGCACTTTTGGTGATTTTATAGCACAGTTGAAAACATGCCATATATATAATTTTGTATGGTGATTTTGTTTTTTTTTTTTTTTTGTTCTAATTATATTGTTGTTAAGTGCCGTGAACTGCTGATTTTACCGTTAGCAGTCCTGTGCAGCTTGTGCATTTCTCATGGAATTAGAATACTTTTGTAAGCATTATTTTTGACAGCTGCATAATATTTCACTGTGTGTACATTCAATTATTCATTGAATTAATCTGCTTCTTCTGAATGTGTTAGGTTGTTTCTAATTTTTGGCGATTGTAGGATCACTCTGAACATCTTCATCATGTATCATGGTTTCCTCACTTACTGGGCTATTCTCTTAGAGATTCCCAGAAGTGGAATTACTAATGCAAAGGTCATACAGAGTGTTTTTGTATTAAGAGTCAGATGTCCCAATTGCTTTCCAAAAGGGTAATTTGGGACACCCCCCCCCCTTTCCTATGGCTTCACTGGGGCAGTTCAGTGCACCTAGCTGAGATCTTAGAGGGTCTTTGCCTCGTCCTCATCTGCTTCTGCCTGGCCTAAAACTGTGAGGGGCTTTTCATCAGAAACTAAGCCTTGCCTATTCTCTGCCCTGAGTATCCAGCTACCTTCTGTTATATGCGCTTGTCCCAGGGTCTATTTCATCTCAGGAAAGGACATTCTCCTAATAACTAATTAATGTGCTGTGATCTCTGACTGAAATAACTTCCCTGGCCTTGGGCCCAGCAACCCAGAATAATAAAATAAACAATAAATTGGCCTGGCGACTGCTCTTTCCAACACAGGCTGCCTCTTTGGAGTACAGTAGCTCTGTGTCCCTCTGGCCCTGGCAGCCTTTCCCCCTGCCTCTGCTGGTTTTTTCCCTTCAGTGTTTCTCTCTGGCATCCAGCCCTGAGTCTCTCCTTGCTTGGACCTTTGGCCCCTGGTCATTCCTTTTTGCTGCTCACTTTCTGTGACTCCTCTATTCAGGGGGTAGCAGAACTGAGCAGCTGACCGCCCCAAAGGTTAAGGAAGGCATGCATATTCTCATGCCATAGATGGTAGATCACAGCATCCTTGAGGACATATTATTATTCCCATGCCTACTGCAGCAGAGCTGAGGTGGAGCTCAGGGTGCAGGATGGGAGGCCTGCAGGGGGCACCTATGGCGGCCAGAGTTTAGCTGCCTGTGTATCCACAGTTAGGTCTGAGCTGATCTGCAGGTTTACAGTGTGATTGGCTCTGAAGCACATGGTGGCACTGCTAGGTGGGGTGAGGGAATGTTCTACCCATCAGGGCTATTCAGCTGGCACCTTTCAGTGGTTCCCACTTCCTCAGGGAGCTTTGCATTCTCCTCCAGTGGTGACTCAGCATCTGACTGTGGTTGCACTGTCCCTCCTCACCATCCTAACTTCCTACTCCCCAGCCCTCAGGCGTTGCAGCCTGCTACTCTGGAAAAGATGGTTCTCTGGAAAGTCTAGGAACTAGGGGGAAGGGACACAGATGGTAGAGCCTCTGCAGTTTGCACTGCCAACCACAATCCCTGCAATGCTTTGGTTCTTGTCCACCTCTAAGGTCAGCAACCAAAAAAAAAAAAAAACAAGCCAACTGTTGTCAAGTCAAATCCAACTCACAGCAACCCAGTAGGACAGAGGAGAATTGCTCCCTGGGTTTTCTATATGGAAGCAGACTGCCTCATCTTTCTCCCGTGGAATGGTTGATGGGTTTCTACCACCAATCTTCCAATTAGTGGCCAAATGCTGAACCCGCTGTATCACCATGGCTCCTCTAATGTCCTTGAGTGTCCCTTTATTGTCAAAAGTCCATGGAAGTGCTGCTAGAACAGAAATATCACCAGTGGAGGGCTTTAACAAGCAGAAATTCCTTTTCTCACAGTTTAGGAGGCTGAAGTCTGAATTCAGGACACCAGCTCTTAGAGGAAGGCTTTCTTTCTCAACCTGCTTTTGAGAAAGTTCCTTGTCTCCTTTCAGCATCTGTGGTCCTAGCATCCCTTGGAGAACTCCATGTGTCTTGACATCAATCTTCCCCAGGGCCATCCAATGGGTACACTCTGTGCTTCTA